TATATTCAATTCAATTCAATAATACTTTATTAATCCCAAAGGGAAATTATTTTGTTGTTGTAACTCGTTATCCTCATTTCATTAAGAGATGTTATAGATGCTGATGGCTCTTGTAAAGGTCCATCCCTCAGTGGATCCTAAGAAACTGGCTGCAGATGCCGTCCGATCCGTCCACCCAGACTCGGCTGACCTCTCGGTTCCCCTGGACTGTAGGACCACCTGAATGCTGGGCAGAACTCCTCCCAGAGCGATGGCCACTCCTCCCAGCAGTCTGCCAAGCTCTTCATCGCTGCGGACAGCCAACTGTAGGTGCTGAGGGACGATCCTGTCCTTCCGCTGTCATGAGCCGTGTTTCCTGCTAGTTCCAGGATCTCAGTGGTCAGGCACTCGAGCACAGCTGGCAGGTAGATGAGAATGCATCCACATAACATCCTTTTCAACTCATTTGAGAGTTGGGACCATTGTTGAGATATTATTTGAGCTTTTGAGATGTTAATCAGCTGTTGTTTTTGTAGAAAACTGCCTTGTTGCCATGGTTACGCATCATAACAAATGTCCAAAGCCAAAAAAGTCTCAGTAAAAATCCTTCCAGTATATATATATATATATATATATATATATATATATGTATTCATACAATTATACAATTATAACAATTCATACAACAGAAACTTCAGAAGACTCAGGTGGAGGCCTCAACAATCGCCTGGATCAAAGACTACCTGACGGACAGACCACAGTTTGTGAGACTGAAGGGTTGTGTGTCTGACCAGGTGGTCAGTAGCTCAGGAGCACCACAGGGGACTGTACTCTCACCATTCCTTTTCACTCTGTACACCTCAGATTTCCAGTACAAAACAGACTCCTGTCATCTGCAGAAATATTCTGATGACTCTGCAGTGGTCGGGTGTATCAGAGAAGGACAAGAAGCTGAGTACAGGGAACTGGTGGATCACTTTGTGGCATGGTGTGGAAACAGTCATCTCATCTTGAATGTGAACAAAACAAAGGAGGTGATTGTAGATTTCAGGAGAATCAGGAACAGATCCAACCCTATTTTCATCATGGGAGAAGAAGTGGAGGTGGTGGAGAAGTATAAATACCTTGGAGTTCACCTGGACAACAGACTGGACTGGAAATGCAACAGTGTAGCATCTACAAGAAGGGACAGAGCAGACTGTACTTCTTGAGGAAGCTGAAGTCCTTCAACGTTCAACTGATTATCTTCTATAAGTCTGTTGTAGAGAGCGCTGTCTCTTCTGACATCATCTGCTGGGGTAGCAGCACCAGAGCAAGTGACTTAAAAAAGATCAACAAGCTCATAAAGAAGGCTGGCTCAGTTCTGGGGACTCCTCTAGAACCTTTGGAGATGATTGTTCAAAGAAGGATTCTTCATAAAATGAAGAACATTATAGACAACCCTCAGCATCCTCTTCATCAGACTGTCATACAACAACAGAGTGTCTTCAGTCAGAGGATTCTTCAAATCCGTTGTAGGACAGACCGCTACAAGAGATCCTTCCTGCCCACAGCCATCAGCATCTAGAACAACTCTTTAATGAAACCAGGATGAAGAGTTATAACATTTAATTTCCCTCTGGGATTAATAAAGTATTTTTGAATTGAATTGAATATGCTACTAGATCTAAAGCTAATTGAACAAATCATTCTAAAGAGACTAATCAGTGCTTTAGATCACATTCATACACTGATGGGACACACATCAGAGGCTATGAGGGGTTCAGTGTCTTGCCCAGGGACACTTCAGCATGTGACTGTTGGTGGATCCGAACCCCAAACTCTTGCATTGGAGGACGACTGCTCTAACCACTCAGCCACAGCCGTCCCAATAGGATAGATTCTTAAAGAAAACTAACAGGTCTGTGAGAGGTAGAATTGTTGGTTGGTAGGTGATCAAATACTTGTTTCATGCAATAAAATCCAAACTACTTTTTTTTAATCAAACAATGTGATTTTCTGGATTAAAAAAAAAAAAATTGTAGGTTCTGTCTCTTACAGTTGAAACGTACCTACAATAAAAATTACAGACCTGTCCATATTCTGTAGGTGGGAACACATGCAAAATTGGTGGTGTATCAAATCAAATACTTATTTTCCCCACTGTATCCCCCCCCCCCCCACACACACACACACGCATACTGTATATATAATAGTGATTGAAATGGTATTGGTATAAATGTAATGTGTGATATCCTGTTATTGGAACTGGTTTGGATCACTAAATGTATGTACTGTAATGTTGAGATCCCTCCAGCAGAGGGTAAGGTGTTCTAGCTGCCTGGAGGAGGAACAGGAGGAGGAACAGGAGGAGGAAAACACAGCAGCAGGACAGGTTCAACGAGCTCAGCATGGCTTTATTTTAGATTCCACCCTGACACAAGATGGGACTCTGGCTGGTTGAACTGTACTGGTAAGTTTTCAACCCAGCACCCACACTACTTTGGTTAAAAGTCATTGTTTGGATCTAGACCTAAACTGAAATTAAACTGCTTGTGCTGTAAATTTAGAAATCTTTTATTATAAGGTAATTTTCTTTGTTTATTGCATTTTTGCTTTCACTGATTCCAGATGTATTTACAGTTTGCACATTTTGTATTTATTGTACGTACAGAGGCTCAGATCATGTTAAAGTAAAACAAGTGTTTCAACGACACTCTGGCGCGCTCTGAGAGATTTCCTGTTAAGGTTTGAAAACTTGTTAATGATTAGTCTAACCTCGGTTTAGCTCCACTCATAAAAGGCTTCACTTGTCCTTCCTGCAATAAGTCACACACATAAAACTAATTTTGTAAAGAAAAATAAGTTTCTGATTTGTGGTTGCTTTAATTTTCTTATTCCATCATATAGTTCTTCATTTTGTCTGATGATGAAGTGAAGACTTGAAGAAAGCATTAAACACCTCCAGCAGAAGCAGACCTCCACAGGTTCATGAAATGGATTTCAAACGTCAACCAGAACCTCTCCAGAGACAATCCTCATTTGATGAGCCGTTGTCTCTGACGGATAATATTCAGCCTGTTTATGAAGTCATTGAAGAAAATGATGCAAGCAATAATTTTTATCAGAGGAACTTGAATGGTCTCCTAGGACCTTATGAACCCAAACCTGCAGAGTCTGGACCTCTTCAGACTCCCAACTATCAGGACACAATCCCAATACCAGCACCCAGAATAAGGCGTCAGAGCTCACCCATAATACCATGCCGTGTACCACCTCCTCTTCCCCCCAGGCCAAACAAAAAGCAGACAGAGTTTACTCCTAAACTTCTGCGTTCCATCACAGAAGTGAAGAGTTACGTAAGTATTTTCAGTTGGGTTTTTTGTTGTTGTTGGATGATATTCTAAGAATTCCCAATTCAAAATATATATTTTTTAAACTAGAGACCTTTTTAAAGTGTAACGTTGACGTGTTTTTTCTCACTTAGGATCCATGGTCTATCGCCCTCATAGACTCTCCAGAAGGCAGCACCAAGGAACTGGCTTCTTTTTGTGCTTCCACATCAAGGCAAGACAATGAAAGTTATGACATTGTTGGAAATAAAACCAATATAAATAAAACATCTCAAAGATTAAGATCCAAATTAAGAAAAAAAACCTTTATTAATCTCAAAAGGAAATTAAATGTTGTAGCTGTTATCCTTGTTTCATTAAGAGATGTTATAGATGCTGATGGCTGTAGGTAGGAATGGCCTCTTGTAAAGGTCCGTCCCACAGAGGATCCGAAGAAAATGGCCGCAGATGCTGTCCGATCCGTCCATCAGACTCTGCTGGCCTCTCGGTTACCCCGGGCTTCAGGACCGCCCAAATGCTGGGCAGAACTCCTCCCTGAGCGATGGTCACTTGTCTCAGCAGTCTGCCGAGCTCCTTGTCGCTGCGGACAATCGGCTGCTGGTGTAGAGGGACGATCCCGGTCCTTCTGCTGTCACAGACCGTGCTTCCTGCTAGTTCCGGGATCTCAGTGGTCAGGCACTCGAGCACAACTGACCAGGAGACGGGAATGCATCTACGGCACCTCCTTTTCAACTCATTTGTGATTTGGGGCTATAATCGAGATATTATTTGAGCTTTTCAGATGTTAATCTTCTACTCTCAGTTGTAAAAAAAAAAAAACACCTTGTTGCCATGGTTATGCATCATAACAAATGTTCAAAAGTAAAAAGGTTTCAGTATAAAACATTCCAGCTGCGTAGCATCCAATACCAGAGGAAGCAGTCATCCAAAAAATGTGATTTACATCCAGCAAAAAAGGAATTAAAGTTTCCAAAAGCAAAATCTCAGAATGAAAGTAACAAGCTACTCCAACATGCAGCCACTCCAAGTGGTGCAGTTCTAGAACACAGTTCTAGAACACAGTTCTAGAACACAGTTCTAGAACACAGTTCTCGAACACAGTTCTCCTTTGGTATTTACAGTATTTTTTTTCTTCTCATCTTTCACTTTCACATTGTCAAACCTGAATTTTATTTGGCTCCTTTGACAGGTTGATGTCACAGTACAAACACACAGACAAGGTCCACAACTCGGGCATTGTGTGGGGTCGACTGCTACACATCCACCCTGCCCTGCTGCAGCAGGTGGAGGTGACCGTCTGTGTGTCCACTGAGCAAAGTGATCACAAGCTTCCCCTCCCCACCCCGGGTAAGAACTCAAGAGTGAATGGGAAATGGACAAAACCTCAGAAATAATACAAGGTACTTACACATCCCAGGTGTGTATGTGAGAGCGCCGTACTCACTTAAAAAAATACAGGTACACACCTGGTTTTAGGAGGGTACTTATCTGGTATGTGTAAAGTACTATATTGGTACATATCTGGTACCTATTGGAACCAGGCTGTAATATGAAGTGATCTGTTTTCCTGTATTTGCAAAGTTAAGTGCTATGTGTTGTTATCATTTTATGTTCAGAGTCAGAGATTCTTTATTGTCATTCGCACCTCATGTGGTACATGTGATGGAGCGAAATTATGTACACATGGTCCCAGTTACGTCCAACAATAAAATGTATAAGAAAAACAGTAATAAGATCTAAGATATGAACTAAGAAAAACATCAACTAAATATACACTCAATTGTATGAGTTCCCATACAATTGTGAAATTAGTTTTCTGCATTTAACCCATCAAACCTGAGATACACCCAGGTGGAGCAGTGGGCAGTTATGTAAGCACCCAGGGAGCAGGCAGGGATTAGGTGTCTTGCTCAGAGACACCACAACATGTGGGCATGGCAGGTAGTCGAACCGCGACTTTCTGGTCCCAAGTCAGCTGCCCTACCTCAACACCATGCAGCCCCTTCTGTTCATACGTTTCTTCTTACCTGGTATGCACCTGGTATTACTGGGAAACCACATAAAGGTATTATGTTTGCTATACATATATAACCTGTTACATACAAAATATGTACCCAATAAGTACTCTATATGTACCAGCCAGGTAAGTATTAGGTATTAATGTGGTATGTACAGGCCACATATAAGGTCAGCATCCAATAAGTAGTACTAGGCACATACCCAATTTGCACTCAACATGTACCAGGTAAGAAGCACTTACTAATTATGTAAGTATGGAATAACAAGTTACTTCATAATAAAGCCCAGTCCCAGTGTGTACCAGGCACATACCTGGTAAGTACCAGGCACATATCTGGTAAGTACCAGGCACATACCGGCTCTATCTGTAAAAGGATACATATGAAAACTTTTATTATCTTTGATATTTAGATTTATAAGTCACATAATACAAGGTACTTACACATCCCAGGTGTGTATGTGAGATGTACCAGCTCAGTACTCACTTATTTAAAAAAAATTTAAAAATATTTAAAATGACTCCCAAGTGTCGGGCAGCATGGTGGCACAACTGGTAGAGCTGCTGCCTCTCAGCGAGCAGATTACCATGGTTCAAATCCCGGTCCGGGCCCTTTCTGGGTGGAGTTTGCATGTTCTCTCTGTGCATGCGTGGGTTTTCTCCAGGTACTCTAGTTTCCTCTCACAGACCAAAAACATGATGTTTGTCTAATTGGTAACTCTAAATTGTCTCTAGGTGAGAGAGTGAATAGTTGTTTGTCTCATTTGTCTTTATACGTGTCCCTGTGATGGACTTGCGACCTGTCCAGGGTGTCCCCCACCTCTCGCACAGTGATAGCTGTACATGGGCACCGGCGACCCCCGTGACCAAAATAGAAGAAGCGGCTAAAGATAATGGATGGATAGATGGATGGATGGACTCCAAGTGGAGTAATTTAATGTATTAGGCATGACATGGTTAGTCAGCTTTTTTTACAGTAGTCTGTGATACACCTATACTGACTGACATTTGTTGAGGAATAAAGTATGAACAGCTGTTGGCAGAGGTGTGTGGACTCTGACCTCTAATCTTTAATTCAGTAAACAGGAAGGTGAAGGATCTAATCGATCAGTTCTGCCAGCTGCTGGAGTTTCCTGCCAACACAAGTGGGGAATATGTTTTAAAAATGTGTGACACTGAAGAGTTTCTCAGAAAGTAAGTCTGTCCCCATATTTGTCTGCTAGTACAAACACATCAGGAATGTGCCTCTTCTTTCTGTAGATCTGTTTTCGTCAGAGGTGCGTTTATCAGTTTGTTGTTTTCTGCCTCTCTTTCCAGCGATGAGCTTCTTGGGTTGCACGAGACAATTCAGGTCTATTACAAGTTAAAAATGGTGATCAGTCTTCGAATGCTCCACAAAAACAACCTGAACCATCATCTGGCCCGAACCGTGAGTCAGTTCAAATTCCATTTCTGATCCCTCCCACGGATCAGATTACGTACCGAGCAGTTCTGGTCTTATCGTCAAACTTGTAACGCAGCTTTCAAAAGCACCTGTGATTGTCATCATCGTCAGAGTTATTGTAGCTGTAAACCTCTTCATCCACAAGTGTTGACTGCTTTCTTTACACTTACTCTAAACCCACTGCTAGCATTTAGCAGCAAATATAAAACGAAGTAAAAGGCAAATTATTATTTGTTTTTAGCTATGTATTAATTTTTTTCTGCTTTGTTTTACCTAAAACTTCCAGTCATGAAGTGAAAACAATCCTGATCAGTGTTTAAACCTTTGCTTGTTTTCTCAGGCTGAAGATGACATAACTGCAAGTCAACAGAACCAGTTCTTGTGTCCAGTCAGTGTCTACACCACCTCCAAGTAAGACCGGACAACCCTGGGCCTTTCACATCAGCATTTTGAATTAGTTGTCAGTCCAACTGTTCAGTGTGGTAAAAGTCAACCAGAGTTTGTTTGTTGAAAACACCGTCGGTGTGTGACTCGATCATCTGTGTGTTTTATACTTTGTGACAGGCTGAGCATGCTGGACGTTCTTGGTACTTACAACAGACTGATAGCAGATCTCATTAATACTAAGGTCAGAAAATAAAATACAACCAGTGGTGACTTTAATGTTTTAATCGAAGTATTTTTATTGGGTTTGCTTTATAGAACACACACACACACACAAAAACAGCAATAAAATCCTCTTCCATGCCGGATCAGCTGCACAGATGTGCATGCAATAGACAGGCACTGACATACTCTTAATATAAGACATCAATGGCTGCCAATTGTCCCAAAATCTCTCAACAGAACCTTTCAGAGTATATCTAATCTTTTCCACATGAATATGACACACAACCTCTCTCATCCAGTGTTCATATGCCGGGGGATGCAGATCCTTCCATCTGCATAAAACAAGTCTCCTGGCTAGAAGAGAGCTAAAAGCAGTCATATTCCTCTCACACTTGCTGAAGGATGCATCCACACGGGCCACCCTAAACAATGAAATGAATGCATGGGTGCATAGTTTTTCCACATATCCCAGAGAAAGTATCAAAAATACATTACCAATAGCCCCACAGCTTTGGACAAGTCCACAACGTGTGTAAGAGCGTAGCTGGAGTTTGTTTAGAACAGTTACATGCAGGGTCCAGGTTGGCTTTGATCTTGGACAGCTTGTCTTTCGGACCAGTGCAGCCTGTGCACCACCTTGGATTGAATTGCATCATGTCTCAGACAGACTGGGGATGAATAAATGTTCTGAATGATCCTTGTCCAGATTGAGTCTGTTATGGATTCCTCCAAGTCCGTTTCCCATTTCAGTTTAAGGGAGTCCAAACTGGTCTCATGGTATGAACTGTGCAGTATATATATCTTGCTGAGGGCCCCCCTTGGTATCAGACCTGCACTCCAAAATCTTAACCACAAAATGTTTAGAGGGGTACAAAAAAATACATCATTGTTTTGAAGGTTTATAAATTTGGAAGTGGCTTTCTGTGGAAAGGTTATGAACAATATAGTGCAAGTTATAAATAGTTCTTCATTCTGGAAAAACTGTTTAATTTTGACCAGCTAACATTTGAGAGGTTCCAAATCAAAGTAGTTTGCTGCAGCCTTCAATCAATTTATTCTAAAATAATTCATAGAGGTTCCTCCCATGTGCTGTTTTACAAACTTTACACCACCATCAGTTTCCTTTTTCAGTTATTCTGATAGAAAAATATAGGATTGTTGCTGGAACCCCCCAGGCTGGACAAAAATAATAGCATCTTCCTGATGTGTGCTTGTAGGTAATCATAAACCATGTAATGTACAATAAATGGCTAAATAAAGGTTTATAACAACTTTCCCATGAACCACTTTGAATTTGTTTAAGATTGGAGTTGTTATGGAATAACAGCAATCAGTTTTGGTCTTGGCTCCACTCAAACTAGCCGTCACGATGCTAATGTCTTGGTCTAACTGGGATATTTTCACTTTTCAGTCAGCGGCGAACATCTGTGAGGTTGTGGACACTGTTCACACCATCAGCAATCTTCTGTCTGGAATTACATGTCAAGAATTAGAAGATGCCATTGGTGGGGTCAACAGAGTCAGACGCACAAATCTGGTACGATGTCTGTACACATTTATAAAACTACTGTAAATTAAAATGACAATTTTATTAGAAACCCCTTTTATAATTTACTGAAATTATACTAAACATAAATATAAAGACAATAAATGCCTGTGGTAAACAATATCTGATGTGTTTCTCCTGTCTGTTTTACAGAGTGATGATGAAATGTCTGATTTTGAAACTGGTGAGTGGCTTTAAAGGCTTTGCCGTATGTGTGTTAGATGACAATTTGAAAGTGATACACAAAGATTTAGGAAACGTTGGCACAACTGCATCTAATACGGACATAAACATGACCTGATTACTAAATATCCTCCATGAAAAAGCAGAACTTAGTAAAGGAACCTGATTTTCTAAAAAAAAAAAAAAGACTTCTGTCTGCTGTCAGCTCCAGTTACCTTATCTGGTCCCACCCACCACTCAAAACCTTTACAGTGCCACGTGAAGTTTAGTTACAATCATCAGTCCAGCACATTTCAGTTCCAGGGTTTTATACTCGTAGAAAGTGAATCATGAGTGGATAAGTGTTGGCATGCTCTCTGTCTGTGTTTCAGCTTTGATTATGCTCAATGGGGCTCTGCAGAAAGTGCTGCAAATGTATTTTGACAATTTCCAGTCAGACTTCAGATCCCAAAGAATTATTGGCAGCCTTGCAGTCTATGACAGTGACAACAACCAGGACATCTTGCAGTTTAATATTGCATCAATCTACAAGCTGCTTCCTTCCTGGCTGAGGTCTGTCACACCCACATTCTGCTTCATGCATGTTCTTATCAGCACCAATTCATGCTCACAAACATGAAACACGTGTTGAACACGAAGAATGAATCAGCTGCTTTTCACGTTTGGTTTGTTTACTTGTTGTCTAATGCAGTTATGAGAGCTTTTCTGTAACCTGTGACGTGACTCATGGAGAAACAAAGATCTGTGACACTGGCGTTTCTGAAAATATCAGCACAGCTTTGTCCCACGCAAACAAGATCTACTGTAACCGCCTGTAAGCCAACAAGAATGACATTTACTGTCACTGTAAAGTAACTAAAGGTGTTAGCATAAAAAGCACAACATTAACTGTTGATGATGATATAGTGCAACAAATAGAAACCAAAGTAGAAGATATTTATAGTTTGTATGTACTTGTATATTTCAGTATGGTGTTTCCTGTCCCAGTAAATCAGCTGCCATACGAGTGCATGCTGACATTTCGCCTCAAAGGCACAAAGCGGAGCAGAAGCCCTGAGCTGTTGGGTTGGGCTGTGCTACCTCTGTACAGCGACAGGTGGGTTTTAGCTTCTGCAGCCTTTTGAAATTTCTTTAACCTTTATTCATACAGGTTAGTCTCACTGAGTCATCTGGACTCATTTTCAAAAGAGTCCTGATTTACACCGACAACACATATTGCAGACAATCTACAACAATAAAAAGCAATTAAAATAAAAATAGTGTCATAAAAACACCGTTACTGTTAGTAGCATGGTCCAATTAGCAGAGTGGTCCTGTTAGTGGTTCTGTTAGCAGTGTGGTCCTGTTCGTAGCATGGTCCTGTTAGCAGTTTGGTTCTGTTAGGTGTGTGGTCCTGTTAGTGTGGTTCTGTTAGTGTGGTTCTGTTAGCGTCAGGGTCTTGTTAACAGAGTGGTTTTGTTAGCAGTGTGGTACTGTTAGTAGTGTGGTTCTGTTAGCAGCATGGTATTGTTCGCAACATGGTTCTGTTAGCAGCATGGTCCTGTTAGCAGAGTGGTTCTGTTAGCAGCATGGTATTGTTCGCAACATGGTTCTGTTAGCAGCATGGTATTGTTCGCAACATGGTTCTGTTAGCAGCATGGTCCTGTTAGCAGAGTGGTTCTGTTAGCAGCATATATTGTTCACAACATGGTCCTGTTAGCAAATTGGTTCTGTTAGTAGCATGGTCCTGTTAATAGTGTGGTCCTGTTAGTAGTGTGGTCATGTTAGTAGTGTGGTTCTGTTATCATCATGGTCCTGTTAGCAGTGTGACCCTGTTAGCAAAGTGGTTCTGTTAGCAGCATGGTCCTGTTAGCAGGGTGGTACTGTTAGCAGCATGGTCCTGTTAGCAGCATGGTACTGTTAGCAGTGTGGTCCTGTTAGCAGCATGGTACTGTTAGCAGCACAGTCCCATCAACAGCATGGTACTGCCAGCGTGTGGTCCTGTTAGCAGCACAGTCCTGTCAGCAGCGTGGTACTACTAGCAGTGTGCTTCTGCTAGCAGCTTGGTCCTGTTAGCAGCATGATGATAATAATGATTGCAACAATGGACAATGACTGCCCTCCAGAACTGGGTCCAGCAGACACAGAACATTCAAAGTTCCCAGCGGAACCAAACTGTTCAGTCCATGCAGGCAGATGGAGGATCATGGAGACGGCCGCCATGACAGATTTAAACGTCTTTTTTTGTTGTTGTACTGATTAAAAATTCAAGTTTATTTTACTTTAAAATGGCTTAAGTGCTTGTTTTAGGTGAGATGAAATTCCCAATATATTGGAAAAATCTGCACAAATATTCTGACTGACATTAAAGCAATAGCTCAGATAAATTGAAATAAAGTTTTGTGTAAAGAATATGAACAGTTGACATCTTGTCTTATGCAGATAGTTCTTTGAACTGCCTTGGTTTGATAATACAGAGTTTGTTGTGCTATAGTTGAAGTTACACTCCATACCTGTGAAAAATATGTGTAAAAAAACTTTACATCAGTGTTGTGAAGTCAGATGATATTGATTAGATTTACTTAGGCCAAAACCAATAAAATTATGTTGTCATCGCCTCACATTCAGTTATGTTTGCCAACACAAGTTGCCATTCATTTTATTCTACTTCCCATTTTTACAAACAGATCTTTCAAAATTCTATCTTCAACCATTCTTAGATTAGGTTTTATTTTATTATGTATCATTAACTGTTATGGGGGCCGAGATGGTGTAGGGGCAGTGCAGCCGACTCAGGACCCAAAGATCCTGGGTTCAATCCCCTGTCATTGCACATCTTGTAGTGTCACTGAGCAGGACACCCAATCCCAAATTGCTCCCCAGTCACCTACATAGCTGCCCACTGCTCCACCTGGGTGCATCCCAGGTGCGATGGGTTAAATGCAGAGGGCCAATTTCGTCTTTGTATGGGAACATACCATGATGACAACACATAGCACTTTTTTATTATTATTATCAATGTTCTTTATTATCTTGAGACCTGATTTTACCATAATGACTGTGTAACCACTTTAAGTGTTTGTTAAGGTAAAATTACTGACCTTTAATTTGCACACTCTGTTTAGGACTCTTGTAAGAGGAACAGTCCTGCTCAGCCTTTCCACTCTTGCTGAACTCCCTTTTCCTCCCTCTCCTGCCCTGTCTGACCTCCACAAACAGCCCATAGGAGTCATAATACAGGTCAGAAGTACCCGACGACTCTGCCCTCATGTTGACCAAATCACACAAATGATTTCTAAAACACCCTACCCTTTCTTGTTTTTCAGCTTGAGTTTAATGATGACTTTGAGTGGGAGTATCGCAGGCCTGTGGCTCTTCCCGGATCAATCAAATTCTCCCAGCCTTGTCAGGAAGTGCAAAAGAAAATGTTGAATATTTCCAAAAAGAATTGCCTCTGCTTGTGAGTAGAATTATTATTTTTTTTCCTTTTGTAAGATTGTTTTTGCTGTAACAAGACTAAGAAAACAATATTTCTTTTACAAGTTTATCAGAAAATGAGAGGTCTTTCCTATGGAGTAAACATTTCTGTAGTGACAAATCAAGCACCTTCCTCCACCTGTTGCTCGCTGGCGTCCCTGATTGGCAGCCTCAAAACTTAACAGGAATCTATTCCGTAGTAGACAACTGGCTCATCCACCTACCTGAGGAGGCTCTTTTCCTGCTCACTGCCAGGTAAGCAGCCACAGGTTCACATGCACACAGACATAAAAGCACATATGAATCCAGAAATACTGTTTTGTTTGTTTTACATCTAATTTACTACAACTAGATCACACCCCTGCTTACTCTTGGAGAAAATAAGTTAAATTTAAAATAAAACTTATACAACCGCCCAAGAAATGTAGGGAAAACAGTATGGAGCGGTTAGAGCAGTTAGCCTCCAAAGAAAGAGATGGGGGTTCAATTCCACCAGCAGTCACATGTTGAAGTGTCCCTGGGCAAGACACTGAACCCCTCATTGCCTCTGATGTGTGTCCCATCAGTGTATGAATGTGATCTCAATCTCTGATTAGCCTCTTTAGAATGATTTGTTCAATTAGATTTGTAGAGATGTAGTAGAGTGATGTGTGAATGAGTGTTGAAGGTAAATGAGGGCACAGCTTGTGTTGTAAAGTGCTTTGAGTATCTTGATTAAATAGAAAGACTCTATATAAGTACAGTCTACTTACCATTTCCATTTACACAATGCACTCACGGAGATATTAAGTTCTACAGGGTATAATGAGACTGATTAGGGTTGACAGAAACCATTCAACAGAGTATAATTTTGTCCTGAATATGACTGGTCACTGATACGACAAAGTAAAGTTAATTTTGTTTGATTTTGTTTTGTTCATCTTGACATGATCCTGCTTTAATGTAGTTGAACCCACATGCAAGCAAACAATGGGAGACTTCCAGGTAAAAATAAGTCATTTGAATTTATTAACAAAACAAACCAAAGCTGACAGGGCAGCAAAAAGCTACTCTTAGGAAGATGACGAGAGGAACAGAACATGACAGCCTTGACAGGACAATGCACGGACAAAGGAGGAACACAGAGACGCTGACTTTATACAGACACTAACGTGATGATAAACACCTGAGGTGATTGGAACTGGAGACAGGTGCAACAGGAACTGAACAACAAGGAGAGAGAAAACTTGGGAGTGCATGAAAACACAAGGATTACAATTAAAGAAATGACAGAACAAAACAAAAACCCACACATCTGGCTTCTAGGAGCCTGACATTGATCAACACAGATATTCAGAATTCTAAAGCTGGGTATCAGTTGTCCAACTTGGCAAACACATTATATGCACAGAGCATAATATGACTGGTTATAAACTGTCAGAGAATTTTTGATCAAGGGTTCTGAATAATTTGTGTTTTTTATATAGTGTGGCTGAGATGGCTGAGAAACATATTCCACTCAGCCCTTAGAACCTGCCGTCTACCAAAACAATCTCAAGTCAATCTGGAGGCCAGCTCGCTGACTTGCAGTGCGTCCTTGGCATCATTGCCATACACAAGCCCTATACAAGCAGTGCAAGAGTTTGGGTCGCATTGCCGGTGCTATGTCGGACCCCTTCAGGGTGGGAGTTGGACTCAGCCATGGCTGCCTGTTGTCACTGATTCTGTTCATAACTTTTAAGGACAGAATTTCTTTGTGCAACCAGGGCGTGGAGGGACTCTGGTTTGGTGGCCTTGGGATTCCTTCTCTGCTTTTTGCAGATGATGTGGTCCTGCTGGCGTCATCGTGCCTGGATCTTCAGTTCTCATGCAGCCAAGTGTGAAGCAGCTGAGATAAGAATCAGCACCTCCAAATCTGAGACTGTGGTCCTCAGTCAGAAAAGGGTGGATTGGTTTCTTCAGGTCAAAGGTGAGGTTCTGCCTCAAGTGGAGGAGTTCAAGTATCTCGAGGTTTTGTTCATGAGTGAGGGAAGAATGGAGCGTGAGACTGACAGACAGATTGATGCAGCATCTGCAGTATTGCGGACTCTGTGCTGGTCCATTGTAGTGAAGAGAGAGCTGAGCTGTGAAGCAAAGCTCTCAGTTTACCGTTGAATATACGTTCTTACCCTCACCTATTCACGAACTCTGGGTAGTGACCAGAAGAATGAGATCGCAGGTACAGGCGGTTGAAATGAGTTTCCTCTGCAGGGTAGCTGGACTCTCCCTTAGAGAGAGGGTGAGAAGTTCATTTATCCGGGAGAGACTCGGAGTAGAACTGCTGGTCCTCTACATCAAGAGAAGCCAGTGGAGGTGGTTTGGGCATCTGGTAAAGATGCCCCCTGGATGCCTCCCTAGGGAGGTGTTTCGGACATGTCTGACTGGGAGGAGACCCCGGGGAAGACCCAGGACACGCTGGAGCGACTACGTCTTTCAGTTGGCCTGGAAATGCCTTGGAGTCCTTCAAGAAGAGCTGGGAGAGGTGGCTGTGGAAAGAGACGTCTGGACCACCCTGATTAAGCTGCTGCCCCCACTATCTGTCTTAGGAATAAGTGGAAGATAATGGATGGATGGATGGATGGATGGAAACATATATTTTTTGAAACGGCATTCATTTGGCTAACCATTAGACTTAGAGAAAGATATTTTCCTCTCTTCCAATAGTCTGTGCTCTCTGACTTATGTCACAATGTATAATGATGATAGTAATGATGATAATAACTATTTGGCAAAACAGAACATCATTTCAAAGTTGACTGGATGCTGTTCCATTAACCATCTCATATTCTTGGTATTGTTTTTTTTTTTTTGGGTTTGTTTTTCTACATTTACTTTTTCAGTTTTCCTGATCAGACTGTTCGACTGGCTGCCGTGCAGTACTTTAAAGAGATTCCAGATGGAGAACTCGAGATGTATCTGCCACAGCTGGTCCAGGTTAGCAAACAAACACACATCTGTAACAATTACAAACAGAATTTATTCTCAGCCCTTCACATGTGTCATATATCGTTCTTGGTCTTGGGTGTGTTGATTCAATTCAATGTATTTTTATAGCGCCAAATCACAATAGAAGTTTTCTCAGGGCACTGTACAAAAACATTCACATACATAAAAAGCCTGTTAGTAAAAGTTCTCTATCTAAGTAAATCAGCAGATTGTGTTGAATCTTCACTTCGTCAGTCTCCCATCCTGAGCAAGCACAAAGGAAACAGTGGAAAGGAAACACTCCCTTTTAATAGGAAGAAACCTCCAGCAGATCAAGGCTCAGGACAAGCGGCCATCTGCTTCGACTGGCTGGGTTTAAGAGGACAGGAACGAGGAACAAACACAGAATGGCAGGTCCAGGTGTATTTTCTAAAGGAGGAAATACAAAAAATACGTTAAGATAGAAATAATTACAAATACAAACAAGTAGAGCAAGTAAAGACAGCAGCAGAGTGAGGAAATGTGGCCAGTTTGTCCTCCAGTAGTCTAAACCTGTAGCAGCATAACTAACGCCTAGGGCTGGATCATATGGCCAAAACTTTTATCACAATATATTTCTTAATTTCAGTCGATAATGATATAATTTGATATCGATATAAACAATAGAAAAGCCTCAGAAAAACTGTACAAATAAATTAATGTTCAGCTTTTATTTGTATTTAGCCTTCAAAATTTTTTGAAATTACCATCAAATAAACATAAAATTTTCAACTTTGTCATTATTAATAGTTTTAACTTTAAATAACATAACCTAACCCATGCAGCAAATGTCTGCATTTGTTCAAATTGTGTTTAAGTTCAAGTTGTATTTATTTGTCATATGCTAGGTTAACACAGGGTTAACAGCACTGCTTAGTATGAGAAGAACCGATTTGACTCACTAAAAAAATCAAAGAACAAACAAGAACTGCTAAAAGCACGCAATAAGGGTACACAACAAAAGTACAAAAAGTGAAAAAGTATTTATAATATTTGCAATGATCTAAAGAGAGATATTGAAAAACAACATGGTAGAATATAATGGTGCAAAATATAATGGTGCTGCATGGGTTTCTCTTTTGATACCACTGGGGGGTGTTGTTTCAGGGACAAGTTGGCTCAAACTTTTATTGTGCTTCATTTTCTGACTCTCAGCATTTTCTATCGAGTGGAACAAGTTAGATTTGTTCCCACCGCTAGATAGAACGACTCTCCGTCACATTTTGCAGCACACTGAAACCTGCAGTTTATCGGATCTTAGATAGCCGAACCACTTCCACACCGCCGAATTAGTCTTTCCACTCTTATCAGTTATGTCATCTGCTTTCTCTTCTCTTGTGAAAGCTTGTTCAGTTACATTCTGACGGAGCTCATTTTGAAGCGAAAACAACAAGCATTGGAGATTAGCCTAGCCTAGCCTGCTACCACTAACGCCTTCTGGACTTGAGCTCTGCGTAACATCTACATCACTACCGCACACGTACGTAGTTGTGTCGCAGCTTTTTCTGTTCGGGTTGAAACTGAAGCGGCCGCTTCAACCCGAACAGAAAAAGAAATGTCAGTGAAACGTAATCCTATCAAAATATCGAAAATTTGCTTAAAACTCATATCATCGTTACTGAATAAAAGTATATTGCGACATATATTGATTTTGAATTGTTGTCTAGCTCTATTAATGCCCCTTTTCCACCACTCCTACTCAGCCCTACTCTGCTTTGCCCGCTCAGATCAGCTCTTTACATGTTGCATTTTCACGATACTTCAGGACCGGTTCTGGAGGCGTGTCCAGAATCCAAAATCCTGCTAATGAACTTTTAATGAACTTTAGTTCACCGAGTGAGAGTTCTGCGATGAGTTAAACTCAAAGCAGTCTGCTCCTCAGATAAATATATTAAATGTTAAATTATTATTTTTAAATATGAATGTTTCAGTTAACTTATTTTATATATAAATTTTTATGTTCAGTTTCTGTTGTGATTTGGCACTATATAAATAAACTGAATTGAATTAAATCTGATGAACCAGATTCTACAAAAACATCTATATTTAAAATTCTATATTTTTCTTCATCATTTCATGTATTTGCACTCCATGTGTCTACTTTCATTGTCCAATTTAGATATGTGGTTTTGTTTCTTGTATACAGATTATTTTATTTTAGCTTTGAATTAAAGTGTAATTCTTGTTTTGTGATTTGTACATCTGTGGGTTAGAATAAAGTTGAACGAAAGGCTGTAGCTCTTCTTTAAACATATTTGAGGGAAATATTCCTGAGAGTTCCAATAATTTTATCTTTTTATGATTTTTCAGCTGAATTAACTTTAAATAACAGATTATTTAATAAAGTCAAAGTGAAAACAGGATTTCATTATAAAGCCGGCACGGTTTATTTATTTTTAATCTTCACTGATAAAAAAAAAAACATTATTTTTTATACATAAAATGTTAACATAAAAAACATTTCCACCCTCCGTCCCGTTCCTCACATCTGCCAGGGCTTGGAATCCAGCATTTGTGAGGCCGGGGTCCGGGTTCGGACCCCGCCCTTGCGTGCTTCAAAGGGTCGGCAGCTCGTACGATCCTCCGCGGTGACTCCGTTCACTCTGAATTTTGTCGTTGGTCATCAAACACAAAAAAAAATGCCTGGACTTGGATTAGAACACAGTGTTGTCATTATTGTTTTTAAAATCTTAAAAATAGATCCCTCTGCTGTTCCACATTCGGAGAAATTGCAAATGGTGGATCTATGAAAAGTTTCTGAGAGAGATCCAGTGACTCCTCCCCCTGACCATTCAGTGACTGACAGTGTTCTGACGTCACGTTTAGGTGCCGACTCAGCTCGAACGGTTCCACCAAAGAAGCAGGGACAAAAAAGGGGACTGAATCAGCTAAAAAGTACTAGTGGAATAGCGCTCAAACCATAGCGAGCTGAGCAGAGTTGGGGTTGAGTAGGAATGGTGAAAAAGGGGCATAAGAGATAGCTCAGGAAACCCAAGCCATCCCTAACTATATGATTTATCAACATGGAAAGAATGAAACTACTTAATCCTAATCTTAAATGTAGACAATGTGTCAGCCTCACAGACAGAAACTGGAAGTTGGTTCCACAAGAGAGGAGCCTGATAACTGAAAGATCTGCCTCCCAGTCTGCTTTTGGAAACTTTAAGAACCACAAGTAAGCCTGCAGTCTGAGAGCTCAAGGCAAAACGAAAGTTACGTATGTAACTACGGTTCTATGAATCCTGGATGACCACCAGAGGGCAGTGTTGAAAGCACTGAATGTTCTCCGCGCATGCGCTGTTCGAGTAGTAATACCAACGGAGTCACAGGTGTGACATGGATGACCAATCAGAGGCTATATAGCCTGATGTCATCCGTGGCTCTGCTCCTACAGAATCTTCTCACGGGATGCAAGGATTCTGAGTGACAGAGAAGCTCTGATGATCATCCGGGATTCATAGAACCGTAGTTACATACATAACTTTCGTTACATTTCATCCCTCCTGACCACCAGAGGGCAGTGCTGAAAGTACTGAATGACTAATACCAACAATGTCACAAGGAATCCTGAGTACACACCACACTGAGGAGGCCCAGAGGACCCTTGCAGAAGAACCTGGCCCAGGGGATGAGGGGTGGCCATGTTAACGCTATAAAATCTGGTGAACGTGCTTGGGAAAGCCCATGATGCAGCAGCACATATTGCTTCCAGCGGAACCCCCCTCAGGGCTGCCCAGGAAGCAGAGACACTCCTGGTAGAGTGTGCCTTCATGCCGACTAGCAGGGGGCCGTGCCCTGCGGCATGGGCGTGGCAAAAGACATCCACGATCCAGTGGGAGAGGTGCTGTTTGGAAAGAGGACAATGTAAGCTAGGGCCTCCATAACACACAAACAGCTGGTCTGAACGTCATATGACTGCAATAGCTGCAACGTATGCCTCCAGTGCTCTCACTAGGCACAATAATCCAGACTCCTTCCCAGGCGTGGGCTGAAAACGTGCCGGCCTCAATGGTTGGTTACAGTGAGAGTGAGATAACACCTTTGGCACAAACACAGTGTTTGGCCACAAGGTAACACCAGAGCCCTCAGGGCCCCACCTGAGACATGAGGGGCTGACAGAGAGCATGTAGCTCTCCGACCCTCTTTGCTGAGGCAATAGCCAACAAAAAAGCCATCTTACATGAAAGCCACTTGAGGTCCGCCTGCATCAGAGGTTCAAACTGAGGGCGGCACAGAGCTTCGAGAACCAAGGGCAGATCCCAACCTGGTTGTCGTGAAGCCGTCGACGGGTGTAACCTACGGGCACCACGCAGAAAAAAGAGAGACTAGATTATGGCTCCCCACCGTATAGCCATCAATGCTGGTGTGATTAGATGATATTGCCGTTACATAAACTTTAAGCGTTGAAGTAGAGCAACCCTTACCAAGGAGAGACTGGAGAAACTCCAGAATGGTGGGTACTGTACAGGAGACTAGATCCTCATTGTGATCAGAACATCATTGGGAAAACAGACGCCACTTATTTTTGTACTGCTGATGAGTAGAGGATGCCCTGGCGGCCAGGATGGTGCGTCTGACGGGGCTCGAAACTCCAGTCAGCTGCTATCCTAGCCTCACAGTGGCCACACCCACAGCCGAAGACGATGATGATTGGGGTGCCATATCAGTCCCCCCAACTGAGACAGCAAGTCCCTCCTGGTCGGAAGACACCATGGGACGCCCTGACATAGATTTCATAGCAGTGGGAACCATGGTCGTGCTGGCCAATATGGAGCCACCAGCAGCATCCTGTGGTCCTCCTCGAGGACTCTCTGAAGGGTCGGCCAAATTAGAGAAAGGGGTAGAAAGGTATATAGAAGGACCCTTAGCCAAGGATGAGCCAATGCGTCCTGGCGCAGTGCACTCGACGCCCCCGTAAGGGAGTACCAAAGGGGACACTGAGTCAACTCCTCTGTCGCAAACAGGTCTACCTCTGCCTGACCAAAACAGTCCCAGATCATCAGCACTATGTCGCTGTGGAGGGGCCACTCTCCCAGAGCAGACCCCTGGCAGGAGAGAAAATCTGCGACCTTATTGTGTCGCCCTGGTAAGTATGCCGCTCGCAGAGTGGACAGGCGAGGAGAAGCCCATTCCAGGAGCTCTCTGGACACTTTCAGAAGTTGTGCTGACCTGGTGTCCCCCTGGTGGTTGATGTGGTAGACAACAGAGGTATTGTCTGACCGAACGAGAAAATGCCCCCCTTCCAGGTGGGGCAGGAAGTACCTGAGTGCCAAATGTACTATGCACAGCTCCAGCACATTTATATGCTTGGAGCGGTCCTTTTGACCCCAGCAACCCTAAACCGCTATGCATTGCCACACAGCACCCCATCTCTGATGAAGTTCTGCATTGCTAAAGCCCATTGCTGCTGTCACACCACTAGTTCCCTGAAGGGATGCGGAGAGGGAAAACATGAGGTGCACCATGGAATTGCAGAGGCGGTCAGTATGCGCTCTGGCATAATAAGCTCTGCAGAGGAATTCCTCCGTGATGTGACACTGAGCTTGTGGGCACTGAATATCACTGTGCAGAGCCTCTTCTGGTGACACGATGAGCGAGACAACAGCAGGTTCGATCGCCGACCTGTGATCCAAGCCCGCTACAGCTGGCTCATGCAGAGCTGCCAACACTCAGCCATCTGCAGAGAGGTACTGTATTGTGAAATTCTTTATCAAAAGGGCTCGTGAAACGGTCGGCAC